AAGAGGGCCCTCGAGGGGCCCCTTCTGAAGCCAGCAGGGGCCCAAAAGGGGCCCTTAAAGAACCACTTCAAGGCCATCTTCTTCACCCTGCATGTAGGTCACCTTCCGTGACTGCCCGCCCGACGTTCGGTGCGATCAAGAGCCCGGTCTTCTCCATCCCGACGCCGCCGATGCATCGGCGGTGCATTGGCAGCGCGTCGCGATCTTGCACCACCTGCGGCTCCGCCCAGACTGGGGGGGCCTCACGTGAAGTCTGGAGCAGCCTGGCAAAGCTCGGGGTTGCACGCAGACTCCACGCCTGGGAGCGGGTGAAAATTCGGCGACTCCGAAGGGTGTGGTTTGCAAACTATGTGGTTTCCAACCGGCACCCTGGGGGGCACAATGGGGAGCGGGCGAGGACCTCGACTGAGCTCTCCACCGCGCCCCGAGGAGTCCCGACGAGGACAGCGGTGCTACCCAGGCCCCAGCAGTGCGAATCGCAAACCATACCTGGCGTAACCATACCCTTTTGTGGTCGCCGAGAGGTGTCCAGGTCCTGGCGATAGGCCCCCAATCGTGAATCTGCACGTTCATTGGCAGGTTGGGGCTATCGGGCCCCGGCGATCAATGGGCGATTGGGGCTCGATGCGTCCCCCCCCATGCCTATCCACCCTGTCGTTGACCCTGAAGGTCCAGCGCTCTACGGGAAGCTTCCCCGTCCTCTAGCAACGCCATAATGTTCGTGACGTCAGCCATCGGCCCCTCCGCGGATCTCGACCTCTTCCCTGGGGCCGGCTTTTCATCCCGAGTTGTTGTTTGAAGGTTCCAGGGCTGGGACGCCGCCTCCAAGAAGTCAATCACGTAGAGAAGCCACTTTAGTGTCGCCTGGAGCCGAGGGTTGGGGGCGCGTACCCAACTCGGTGGATGTGGACAAGCCTCAGGCGTGGACGGACAGGTCCTGGTGACAGTCCCAGCCCCAACGCTTCTTCCCAGGGGTACAGGAATCGTGCTATCACAAGGAACGCTGAATATGGAACGAAGTGGCATTTTTGGCCACGGCGGACCTCGGTACCGAAGAGGCTCCCCAACTTGGATCTAAGGAACGGACCAACAATCAGATCCGCTTCTGAGCCCGAAGTGGTCCGCATTTCAGCGTCTTGGCTGTAGCCCAGGGTCAATGTGCACCTCAACCCCGGGGTGCCTGCGAAAGGGACGCTTTGATGCTCATCGCGACACGAAATCACGTCCAGAACCCTCGACCCCATCCTTTCTGCGGCATCTCTCTCGAGCTGGGCCGAGCCGTGACGGCCTCAGGGCTCCCGCAAGAGATGCGCGGAGACGTCCAGCGTGAAAAACTGAGGCGCACGGGCTCAATTCCCGGACCGGGGCCATTTCCTCGGAGATACGAAAGAGCGCGCCCACAGCGCCGGAGCAAAGGGGGGGGGTCCCCCCTTAGCTACCCCCCCCCTCCCTTCCACCTCCCCTGCTGGAAGCCCCCCCTCCCCCCTCCCCCCCTTTTTCGCCTCCCCCCTGAAGCTACTCCCCTCCTGTCGCTACTCCGACTTACCCCCCCCTCCCCCCCTTTCCCAAAGGGAGGAGGAGCTTAGCTACCCCCCCCCTCCCCTCGACTCCCCTCTGCCGGAAGCTCCCCCCCCCCTTCGATTTCCCCTTTCGTTCCAAAAGGGGGGGTGGCTTAGCAGCCCCCCCCCTCCCCCCCTTTCGGCACCCGGGAGGCTCCCCCCCCATCCCCCCCCTTACGATAGGGAAGGGGGGCTTAGCTACCCCCCCCCCCCTTCCCCCTTTGGTTCCAAAGGGGGGTGGGGGGCTTAGCAGCCCCCACCCCTCCCCCCCTTCGGCACCGGGAAGCCCCCCCGTCCCTCCCCCCCCTCCTTTGACCCCCCTCTGCGGGAAGCCCCCCCTCCCTTCCCTCCATATTTCTCCCCCTCCCCTCCCCCCCTTTTGCAAAAGGGGAGGGGCGGCTTAGCTACCACCCCCCTCCCTTGAATTCCCCCTGCCGGACGATCCTCCCCCGTCGCCGTCGTCGTTGCCGTCGCCGTCGCTCGACGTCTTGGTGCAACGCCGTCGTCGTCTTCGTCGTCGTTGTCGCCGCCGTCGCCGTCATTGTCGCCGTCTTCGTATGACCTCGCCGTGGTCGTCACGACGAGGACGAGGTCATGCGACGACGGCGACGGACGACGGACAACGCGCGACCGACGACCGACGACGACGACGACGACGACCCACGGTCAGAGAAAACGAGACCACGACCCCGGGGCTCAGAAAACGAGGAAACAAAGCAGGTTTCGAGAAAACGAGACCACGGCCAAGGGGCCGAGAAACGAGAAAACAAGAAAACGAACCAGGGTCCAACAAAAACGAACCAGGGTCCGAGAAAACGAGACCACGACCCAATGGCAGAGAAAACGAGGGAAAAAGAAAACACACCAGCGCCCAAGAAAACGAAACCACAGCCCAGGGGCAGAGAAAACGAGAAAACTAACCAGGGGCCGAGAAAACTGGACCACGGCCCAGGCGCCGAGAAAACCAGGGGCCGAGGAAATGAGAAAACGCGAAAACGACCCACGACCCAGGGGCAGAGAAAACGAGAAAACGAGAACACGAACCTGGGTCCGAGGAAACCACGACCCACGGGCCGATATCACCAGAAAACGCTTGGCTCGAGAAAACGAGACCACGACCCAGGAGCCGAGAAAACGAGAAAACGAAGCAGGGTCAGAGAAAAATGGACCACGACCCAGGCGCCGAGAACACGAGAAAACGAGAAAACGAACCAGGGCCCGAGAAAACGAGACCGCGACCCAGGAGCCGAAAACACGCGAAAACAAGCAAACAAACCAGGGGAAGAGAAAACGAGAAAACGACAAAAAGGAATCAGGGCCCGAGAAAACGAGAAGCCCCCCCCTTTTAGCCAGGCCCCCCCTAGCTTAGAAACTCTTACAGAAGGGAGGGGGGAGGGTAGTTTCGGAAGCTCCCCTCCTTTTGGAAGAGAGGGGGGGGAGGTAACTTGAAGCTAGGGCCCCCCCTTCCGTATTCCTGGCGCTGCGGGTGCGCTCTTTCGGAAATCCGTACGTTTTGATGTTTGCCCACGCGGGGTCCGCAGGGGTCCTGACCCGAAATTTCCCCGGGGCTGGCCTTTTATCACGAGCAGTGGTCGACCTGCCTGCGGGGCATGGCGGGGGCCAATGTAGGTCCAAGTCGGTCGAAAACCATGCTTTTCAGAATTTGGATTTGGCCACGTGTGATTACAAGCTGGCCAAGTGTGATTACAAGCTGGCCACGTGTGGTGACAGGCTGGCCAACTCTGTTAGATGTTATCATAATGAGGGGTGCGTGGCTGAAACGGGATTCCGCAGTACGGATTATTGTTGTTGTTTGTTGTTTGTTGTTTGTTGTTGTTGTTTGTTGTCGTCGTCCCACCCGCAACCCGCCCCGCGACCCACCCGCGACCCACCCCGCGACCCACCCCGCGACCAACCCGCGACCCACCCGCGACCCACCCGCGACCCACCCCGCGACCCACCCGCGACCCACCCCGCGACCCACCCCGCGACCCCCCCCGCGACCCACCCCGCGACCCACCCCGCGACCCACCCCGCGACCCACCCGCGACCCACCCCACGACCCACCCCGCGACCCACCCGCGACCCACCCCGCGACCCACTCGCGACCCACCCGCGACCCACCCGCGACCCACCCCGCGACCCACCCGCGAGCCACCTTCGACCCAAACCACGTTCAAGGTACAAACCACCATTTTCGGCGCCTGCGGCGGGTTTTTTCCCATTCCTTCCAGGTGGAGAGCCCGCGACCCACCCCGCGACCAACTCGCGACCAACCCGCGACCCAAACCGCGTTCAGGGTACAAACCGCATTTTTCGGCGCCTGCGGCGGGCATCTTTTGCATTCGTTCCCGGTGGAGAGCCCGCGGCTCACCCGCGACCGCGTTCAGGGTACAAACCAATTTTTTCGGCGCCTGCGGCGGGCATCTTTTGCATTCGTTCCCGCATAGTGCATCGCGGAATTTAGCATGGACTTACCAAACGACCTAAAGAAGCATGTGTGACTCTTGGGACCGAGCACAAGAAATTACCAACTTGTGAAGGTTAAAACATGTACTCTTTATTTGTGCAGTCGCAATTGCAAAGCGCATATCGGCTGTGTCAGGTGAACCACAAAGTCATCGAACGGTGTGAAAGGCACGACACGTTCTGAAACAGTGATGAACACGTTATGACAATACGAGCGGTTATGCAACGATATGGTAAGTGATGCAATAGCTATGATGTTATAAATTGTTAGCGCGCGGCAAAAGCATTAGCTCAACTGCGCGCTAAATGGCGCGAGGATGTCAGGGATCCCAGCGTCCCCCGGGAAGCCTACCATGTAGAAAACAATGCCTCGCGATCCTGCCACGACGCAAGGCTCTGTAGGGGTGCTGGGGGGCCACTTCTGTGGGCGGTCCCCTGACATCATCCGATAGGATGCTTTCAATCAGCGGCCCCATGAGGTCCCGACCCCTCCCCCAAGGTAGTTTTGCGCCCCAGATCCTGTTTTGATTGTCGCGGAACCTGATAACAGGCCCCAGAAGCACCAACCGAGGTCATTCGCCTGGATTCATAGCAAGATATAAAGAGAATCAAGCCGTCGAAATCTGGGTCTGCTGCACGTCCCCGAACCTCGCCGGCGAGCAGCTCGGGGATGAACCCACCCTGATAGTGGCCTCCGAGATGTGTTCCGAGTAGATGGGGTCGGAGGATCGCGCCGCATCGGCGATACATCGCCGATGCACCGGTGATGCATCGTCGAAGTCGGCGATACACCGGCGACGTCGGCTTGCGTGGAATCGGGCTTCGCATCAAGCCGCATCGCCAATGCATTGGCGATGCGGCACGATCCTCCGACCCCATCCGCTCCGACCCCATCTGGGAGGCCCAGACCCAAAGGCCTCTTCGCGCGGAGGCCCTGGGTAGCGCCTCGCGGCCTCGGGCGCGCGCTTGGGCCTGAGCGCCTGCGGTCGCAGTGACAGCGACGCCGCATCGGACGCGGGCACGCGCGGTGCCGCGGCCGCCCTGCCCCGCCCCCAGACATGCTGGCGTCGCGACAAACTCGCGACGACCAGTTTTTGGCCGTTGCTGCCTCCAGCGCGCACTCGCTCGGACGTCCATTACCCGTGCATGTTTTGGCTTCGTGCGTTCTTTTAAACGTTTTTTGCTCGATGATCCTAGATGCCCCTCGTTAGTCCTCGATGGTCCTCGCCGAGAAAACATGCACACGTCCGAGCGATGCCAAGCCGGGCAAAGGGAAGACTCGGGCAGGAAGAGCTCAATCAGGCTGAACTCGGCCAGATGACCTCGGCTAAGCTGAACTCAGCTCGGGCTGCATTCAGCCTGGAAGAACTCAGCTTGGCCGAGGTCATCCGGCCGAGTCCAACCTGGCCGAGTTCAGCCTGGCCGAATTCAGCCTGGCCGAGTCCGTCCTGGTCGAGTTCAGTTGCTGCCCTCGAAGGGTCCCTGGCAGACCCTGGGACCGCCCGACCAACGGCCCAGGATGAAAAACTTGCCCTGGATAGTGTTGGGACTTCCGGGGGCCGGTGCCGAGCAAAAGCAGGACATCGGGTGTCTGTGTCCTGCGAGCAAAACTGCGGGGCAGCGGGTTGCGGGAGGTTCAGGGACGAAGCAGCACATCCAGGGGCTTTTGAATGTTTATGGGCTCCCTCGGGGAGGCCTCGTGGAGGGCGGCCTTTCTGGAGGGCCCTTGTGGAGGGCGGCCTCGTGGAGGCCTCCGAGGTTCCGAGGTCATGTTGGGAGGACAGCTCTCACAGGTCAGCCCCAAAAAGCATACCATAGCCCCCTCAGTTGCTCACAAGAGTGCGGGGGCGGGGGAGCGGATGGTCGGCGGTCTGCGAGGCTCAAAAGCAGATTGAAAGAAACCCATCGCAGGTGCAAGTTTTCCCGCCTCCATACCGAGCCCGCCGCAGGCGCCGATTTTCAGTCAAAGCAATCTGGGAGAGTCGCAGCATGGGACGCAGGGTGGGTTGCAGGGTGGGTCGCGGGGTGGGTCGCGGAATGGGTCGCGGAGTGGGTCGCGGGTGGGTCGCGGGGTGGACGCCGACAACAGCAACAATCATTCTAAGACTGCTCTCTCTCAGATGCTCGCTTGTTACAACATGCAGCCCCCAAGCGCTCGTTACCCTCACTCTGCCAGTGCCCCCTTTAGGGGGTATATCTCCCTTCCCTGCCACGTGTAATTGGCGCAACCCGCCCCAAGACGGCCCCAACGAGTTCCATGAAAGCTCCTCAAATAGTGAAGACCAAAGGTGTCACGACGGTCTTCCTCTTCCTCCTCCTCCTCCTCCTACCCCTCCTTGTCGTCATCATCAACATCATTATCATCACCATCACAACCACCATCAGCCTCATCCTCTCCCGTCATCCTCATCTCCCTCATCATAGTCACATTCACCATCCTCATTCTCCTCATCACCATCATCACCGACATCAGTATCACCAGCATCATCATCATGATCAACATCATCAACGTCATCACCTTCGCCCTCAGCCTCATCAGGGCTCTCCGACTCCCGAACAGCTGCCAATCAGAATGCTGGGCTGGCACGGTGACGAGACTTGCCGCAGACAGTTGGATCATGGAAGGAGGAAGGAAGGGAGGAGGGAAGGGGGCAAGAGGAAGGGAGGGAAGCGGTGAAGGACAAAAGGGACTAGCAAGAGGAGATGGCAAGGAAGTCTCCGGCGCGAGCACGGTTCTTGAGTAACGCATGAAGAAGTTCAAAGCGACAGCGCAATTCCAGAGCGCCTAGAGAGCGACCAGTGCATACATTGCAAGCAGGTCGTAAGCGAGAGCGGGATTCCTCGAAACATTGCACAAAAACTTCTAACGAAAGTCCTTTTGCTCAATACACTATAGGGAAGGATCCGGCCAGAGCCGTCGTCGTCGTCGCTGTCGTTGTCGTGGACCTCTCCCTTCTGAAGAATAAAAGTTGTTGATCCCCCCCGCGGCGCACATCGTATTTTTTCTTTGAAGTGCCCCTCCCGGGGCTCGCATTCGGTATTTTATCAAGGAGAATCTTGAAGGGAAAACTGGCCCGCTGGCCCGCGAGTTGCAACAACGGCCCCCGCCGGATATTTCCTGACAAGAATTCTTCACAATGTGTACAGAATCGGGCTCTCGCGTGGGACTTCCTCGCAATTAATTCAAACGTCGCGCCCTCGACACTCAGGAATCACGCACTGGCCATGGATTTCTCGGGATTTACTTGTGAATCGCGCTATCGCTCGAGACTTCCTCGCGACCCATGCAGGACGCACGCTGCAACAACCCTTTGCTCGACCTGGCCGCCTGAACCCGCCTTCCCGACCTGCCCGTTAGGGTCTACCCGCCCGATCTGCCCGTTTGGTTCTGCCACGTGCTTTCTGTTCCCAGCCACCTCCTGCTTCTTCCTTTCGTGCTCCATCCTCCTCCCTCCCTCCCGCCCCCTCCTTCCATCCATCGTCGCTTCCCGAGCCTAAGGAGCTGTTCGTGCTGAGTGGCACGCGAGCAGGCAAGAGCGAACAATCCTAAACTTATCGGTGTTGAACTTTCATGTATGAAACAAGCTTATTGTTGATCCTCCCTCCGATGACCATTGTACTTTATCGATTGAGGTCCCCTTCTTGCGGCTCGCACCTTGCTTCTTATCAGGGAATGCTTGGTGTCACCAAACTGGGCTGTTGCCCACCGGTTTGCAACAACAGGGGTTCCCGCCTGATACTTCCTCACAGTGTATTGAGAAATGACGCTCTCGCGTGGTACTTCTTTGATTTATAGAATAATCGCGCTTTCGCACGGTATTTCCTCACAATTTGTTGCGGCGCCGTGCCCCAAAAACTCAGGAATCAAGCTCCCGCTACCGCTTAGGATGTCCTGACGATTTACTTGGGAACCGAGCTTTGTATAGAGCCTCCCTCGCGATTCGTAATGGATTGGCGCTTCAGCGAACCGCCCGCTCGACCAGGCCGTCTGGGCCCGCTCGCCCGACCTGCCCGTGAGACCCCCGCTTCCCCGCCCCGCCTGTTTGGTTTTGCCGCTGGCGCTCCTGCTCCTAACCTTCCTCCTGCAAATCTCTCTCGTGCTCCATCCTTTTCCCTCCCCCGTGTCTCTTCCCTCCTCCCTTCCTTCCCCTGCTTTAGGGGCTGCGCCAACTATACGCGCCAGGATAGGGAAGACATACCCCAAATATGTACGATCGAAAACGACGAGGGCGGGTATCGAGGGCTCAAGCTATACGTATTGAATGGCACACGAGCAGATAACAACGAACAATATGAACATGATTGATGTTCTTGAACTCACTATTGCTGATCCCCCCGCCGGTACACATGGTGTTTTTCAATTGAAGTGCCTCCCCTGGGGTCTCGCACCCGGCTTTTAAATCGTCCTTCTCAAACTGGATCGCTGCCCCCCGAAATATAACAACAACGGCTCCCGCCTGATACCTCCTCACAATGAATTCCAACATCGCGCTCTCGCGCAGAATTTCCTCACAATGTATGCAAGAATCGCGCTCTCGAATGGGACTTCCCCGGGATCTATTCAGACACCGTTCCCTCGACCCTCAGGAACCACCCTCTCGGTTTAGCCTTTTCTCGCGGCTTACTTGGAAACCACACTGCTCCCGAGACTTTCTCGCGATTCATGCACGAATGACGTTTCAGCAACCCGCCCGCTCGACCTGGCCGCCTGGGCTCGCCTTCCTGACCCGCCCGCGTGGGTCTGCCCGCCCGATCTGCCCGTCTGGTTCTGCCACGTGTGTTTTGCTCCTGGCCCCCCCCTGCTATTCCCTCTTGTGTTCCAGCCTCCTCCCTTCCCCGTGCCCCTTCCTTCCATAGACATACCCCCAGAGGGGTGCGATCGAAGGCGAAGAGGGCGGGCATCGAGGGTTTTGGATATGCATGTTGCATGGCACGCCAGCATATTAGAACAACGAACAATAATACTATGATTGATGCTGTTGTTGTGTCGTTGAATTCACATCTTTAGAAATAATTGCAATCGATCCCGCTGGTAACTACTGCAACTTTCAAATAAAATGCTTATCCCGGGGCTCGCACCCGGGTTTTATGAGAAAAATTAAAGATTACCGGACTCGGTTGTTGGTTCCCGAACTACAGCAACAACGGCTCCCGCCTAACACTTCCTCACCAGTTATTCCCAAATCGCGCTCTCGCGCGTGACTTCTTTACAATGTATACAGGAATCGCGCTCTCGCGTGGGACTTCCTTCGCTTTATTTCAACCCCGCGCCCTCGACCCTCAGGAATTATTCTGGTTGTGGTTTTCTTGAGATTCACTTGGGAATCGCTCTATCGCTCGAAATTTTCTCGTGACTCATGCAAGACGCACGCTTCAGCAACCCGTCTGATCGACCTGGCCGCCTGGGCCCGCCTTCCCGACCCGCCCGTTCGGGTATACCCGCCCGATATGCCCGTGTGGTTCTGCCACGTGTTAGCCCCCCTCCTGCTACCCCCTCTTGTGCTCCATCCTCCTCCCTCCCCCCTGTCCCTTCCTTCCATCCGTCCTCTCTTCCCTTGTTTTAGGGGCTGCGCTACATGCGCGAGGCAGGCAAGAAAGATATACCTCCAAGGGGGTGCGATCGAAGACGAAGAGGGCGGGTATCGAGGATTCGGGATATGCGTGCCGAGTGGCACGCGAGCAGATAAGAACGACAATTCTTAAAATGATGGTTGTTGTTCCCTACCGGACAAGTTGGAGCCGTTAGACTGTACGAACAGATCTCCCGGCCCGCCCGCCGTCCATACCGCGGCCTCCAAATCCCCAGGCTCCTGATAATCCCTGGTGGTCCCGCCCCCCCCCGCCCTGCATACCGTGGCCGCCAGATTCCCAGGCTCCCGATAATCCCAGGTGGTCCCGCCCCCCGCGCCGACTCGCCCACTCTGCATACCGGGGCCGCCAGAGCCCCAGGTCCCCCACAGAACAGAGTATAACACCACACCGCCGAACAGATTATAGATCCGAGCAGAATAATCCATATCATGACAGACCATATCGTAACATAACACACCATGACAGAGCAGTGCATGCAATAGCACAGCATCACAACACACCCCATTCCATACCATGATACACCAAGCAAGCCATAACACGTCAACTTAAAGTGAACATGCAAAACATAAAATGCGACACCATCACATAACATGACACACCATATCACAACACGCATGCTACGACATATCGGAGCACACATACCATAACATCTCATACCGGAGCAGAACATGAAATGGTATAGCACTGGCCGAGACCACCGCGCCCCGCGTACATCGTTCCAAAGAGCGCGCGCACCCTCGGGATCAAACGCCACAGGTTTCGGTGGGGATCGCTCGAAGCAATATAGTAAGTGTTGTTGTTGGCGTTGTTATTGTTGAAAACTCATTTCTAAGCATGATTACTGCTGATCCCCCTCTGGTAACCACTGCATGTTTCAATTAAAGAGCTTCTCTCAGGGCTCGCACCCTGTTCGTTTTTTCGCAAGGGAAACTGAAGGGTCACAAAACTAGTTTCTTGGGCCCTGGACTACGACAACAAACGGCTCCCGCCTAACACTTCCTCAGAAGTGATTCACAGCATCGCGTCATCATGCGGGACTTCCTCACAATGTATACAGGAATCGCGCTCTCGCGTGGGACTTCGTTTGCTTCATTTCAACGCCGCGCCCTCGACACTCAGAATCACGCTCTCGCTGTGGATGTCTCAAGATTTATTTGGGATTCGCCAAAGGCGGACATCGAGGGTTTGGGATATACGTGTTGAAGGGTGCGCGAGCAGATAAAAGCGAATAGTCTTATATGATTGTGAGTGTTGTTGTTGCTGCTGGTGTTGCTGTTGTTGTTGCTCCTGTTGTTGTTGCTGCTGGTGTTCGTGTTGTTGTTGTTGTTGTTGTTGCTGTCGTTGTTGTGGTTGTGGTTGTGGTTGCGGTTGTTGTGGTCGTCGTGGTTGTTGTTGCTGTTGTAGATTAGGAGCCAAGGACACTCTCTGATGCGCATCACTTCCGTTGTAGAAATTAGAGTGCGAGCCCCGGGGCACTGCAATTGAACAAAACATGGGCGCTGGGGGGATATCGCGCCGCGGATCCCTACTTCATTCACGCACCCAAGCAAAATAGAAAGTGGCAAAGCTCTCATCCGAGGGGGGCAACTGTGCACCCGGACGGAGGCCCCATCCGTCCGTCTGGGGCGAGCGACAGGGCGGCTCAACTCCCCTTTCGCCCAAGTCTTACGATTCCGAGGCCGCTGCCTCGGGTGGTAGCGGGGGGAGGTAGAGGAGGGGGATGGTGGAGAGGGAGCCAGGGGCAGAGGGAGGAGGGGGGAGGAGGAGGAGAGGGGGGAGGAGCGAGCTAGGCGCGCTCGCTCCATAGCTGACATCCTTTCCCACCCACCCATCCCTTGCCATCGCTCAGTTTTTCTCTATCCGCCGACGCATGTCATAGCGGACGTGTAACTCCAAAGTGGACCCCATCGTGTTATGCGCAGTCGGAAACAAGGGGGCTGCGTATGTTATGCAGGAGGTGGCGGATAAGCAGGAGGGAAATGGGGAGGATGATGAATGAGGGCGAGGACGAACTGCAGCAGCAGGAGCTGGAGTGGAAGGAGCGGGGGGAAGGCGACGGAGGGGACATGAGGGGGGGGGGGCAACAATGAGAGGGGAGGGGAGGCGCAACAACGAGATCAGCCCAAGCCATCGCATCACTGGCGGGCGCAAGGCTGACACCAGCTGGCCAACGCGAACGGCGGGACACGCAAGCTGCCCGTGAGAGGAACTGTCGTAGATCGATCTTGGCGAGGCCGAAATCCGCGAGCGTGGACGACCTTAAGCCCAATTCTACACGGAGAGGATGGAAGGTAAGAGGACGAGAAGGATGAGCAAGAGGAGGAAGTTATAAAAGAGGAGCAAAGGGGGAGGAGGAGGAGGAGGAGGAGGAGGAGGATGAGGAGGAGGAGGAGGAGGAGGAGGAGGAGAAGGAGGATAGAACGCCACAATCGCCGAATCAGGTATGGGCAACTCAAACAAAGAAAAAGAAAGGAGGAGGAGGAGGAGGAGGAGGAGGAGGAGGAGGAGGAGGATAGAACGCCACAGTCGCCGACTCAGGTATGGGCAACTCAAACAAGGAAGAAAGAAGGAGGAGGAGGAAGAGGAGGAGGAGGAGGAGGAGTGTTGTGCTGCTGAGGCCCGGGGTGCAGTGTGACTAGAAGGAGGAGCAGGCGGAGGAAGAGGAGGAGAAGAAGAAGGAGGAGGAGGAGAAACCGGAGGAGGAGGAGCAGAAAGAGGAACGGAGGAGAAGGAGGAAGATAGCGGAGTTTCGGCGTGATTGGCATTAGTTTGAACCTCTGGGGGCCTCCAGGAACGAACCTCCAGAAGTGAAGGGGGTCAGGATCCTGAGGTCGAGGGAGGACGAAAGAGGAGGACAGGGAGACGCAGAATGATGATTGGGAGGAGGGGGGCCGATGGAGCGGCCTCACCGCCCTCTGGCCATTTCTGCCCGTTCTTGAGGACGAGGACCCAAACATCCGACGATGTGCTTTTTCACAGCGTGGCTCCCGAATACTTTGCGACGGTCCCGGGGCCCAGCGAGGGCCCCCGGAGGCCGAACATGGGTAAGAGCTTCCCGTCGTGCTTGTTCCGCGACGCGAGGCTGTCGGGGGAGGATGAGGGAGGAGGATGAGGGAGGAGGAGGAGGAGGAGGAGGAGGAGGGAGGAGGAGGAGGAGGAGGAAAAGGAGGATGAGGGAGGAGGAGGAGGATCGAAGAGGATCGAGGAAGAACGGCCTGAGCGCCTTCTGCGCCTTCCTCTCCCTCTTCTCGTCCTTCCTGTGGGCCTTCAGCTCCTCCTGGCGCCCGGGGCCGCTTGAGCGGTCAGCGGCACTGCGGCCCCGCCTCCTCCTCCCCCCTCCTCCTGCTCCTCCTCTGGCCTCGTCCCTCTGCTGCTGCCTTCCTCCCCTTCCTCTCATCCTCATCCCTCCTCGCCTTCCTCCCCTTTCCCCCCTTCCCCCCCTCAACGGCCCCCTCCAACTTCTTCTCCATCCCTTCCTCCCTACTCCTCGTCCTCCTCTTCCTCCCTGCATTCCCCCGCTCCCCCCCTCCCCCTGGCGTGCCTCCATGCCTCCCTCCCTACGTGAATCCCTCCTCCCCGCCTTCCCTCTGTCACTCCCGCTCCCCACGATCCACCGCGCGATGCCCGAATGCTGCCTGCAATTGTCCACCGCCGTGCCATAGACGCTGGGTGTGTCCTCAAGCCCTTTGGCGTCCTCCATATTGGGCGCGTCATTGCTCTCTGATGGCCCTCGCCCCCGAGCGACGGGCAGTCCTGGGCACTGCCAAGTGTTTTTAGTTTCTGAACTTCCTCGCGTGAGCCTTCCCCAGGTGCCCTCGGGAGCGCGGTTCGGCATCCCGGCTTCTAATCTGCCGCGTCAGTCTGCCCGACGTTTGTCCAGGGACACCAAAATCGGAGGGCGGGAGGGGTGAGGCTGAAGTGAACTGTGAGGTGCCCGAAGCGGCATGTTTGTCGTTGCCTTCCATGCGTAACGTGCGTGTGGTTGTTCTGATGGTTGTCCCGCTGTTTGTCCCCAGCGGTTTTCCCGATAGTATGTATGTACGCATGCGTGCATGCATATATGAATGTATGTATGCATGTATGCACGTATGCATGCGTGTATGGGTGTATGCATGCATATATGTATGTATACATTGTATGTAGGTATGGATGGATGCATGCATGCATGTGTGCATGCATGTATGCATGAATGTATGCATATGTGTACGCATGAATGTATGTATATGGGTATGTGTGTGTTCATGCATGCACATATGCATGTACGCATGTGCATGTGTATGTATACACACATGCACGTATGTGTGTATGTACGCATGATTGCTTGTGTGTATGCATGTATGGTTGTATGTATGTATGTATGTATGTATGTGTGTATGTATGCACGTATGCATGTACGTATGTACGTATGTACGTATGTATGTATGCATGTATGTTTGTAGGTCGGTATGTAGGTAGGTATATAGACATGTATACATATATCGACTCGAACCATCGCGCGCGTTCAAAATCTACCCAGGGTCATGATCACCGTCATCATCGTCATCCTCATCCCCGCCATGTCCGTCGTCATCGTCATGGTCATGGTCACCTTCACCATCACTATCACAACAATCATCATTATCACCAGTATCATCAACATCGTGAGCACCATTTCCATCACGTCATCGTACTTTTCAGCATCATCGTCCACATCATCATATGGTTGGTCGTCGTCGGCGTCGTCGTCAAAGTCATGGCGATGGTGGTGATGATGATGGTGGTGGAGCTGGAGATGATGGTGATGATGATGATGCCGTTGATGATGATGATGGTGGAAATGAAGATGATGATGCTGATGACGGTGATGATGGTGATGAGCATGATGATGATGCCGATGATGATGCTGAGGATGAAAATGATGATGATGCTGATGATGCTGATGATGATGATGATGAGTATGATGGCGATGGTGATGATGATGCTGCGTTTTTTCCTCAACGTCAGGACCAACATCTGATATCAGGATATGGTGTACAATGAAACCAGATTTAAAGTGATCCGTCGCAGAGAGCCGACTGTCTCGCGTTGCCCCGCTTGGGCCAGACTGCCAGGGTGCTGCTCGGAGGGGCCTCCTGCGCAGCGCGTGCCAAGCAGCGTCGAAATGCTAGCTGAGATATCCGGCCGCTTTCTTCTTCGGCGGATGTATCATGCTCAGGTGGGGCCCCCCCCTCACACTGCTCCTCTGGATGTGCTAGCACGGCAGGGGGGGAGTGGAGGCACGACGGAGGAGGGGGGGCATGTGGCCGGCCGTGACCGCGCCGCTGCTGGCAGGGAGGTCTTTGCCTCGAACGAAATTGACGCGGCGTTGAAACGCCTCCTCTCCGCTGTGGCCTGCATTGTGGCCTGCAGGCTCGCTCTGGCAGAAAAAGACGGGTTCACTGCTCGAGCGTCTCTAGCCTCCTCCTCGAGCCAGCCCACTGGGCCCACGTCTCGGCGGTGGACCGCCTGGCCCTCGGCCTCGAGGGCGCGGCTGGTCAGGATTTGGCCCTCCCACATGGGCGCGCCCAGCGCGCCGATCACCAGCTTCGTCTTGTCGTGGTCGTAGCACTTCTCCAGGCGCGCGAAGTTGATGGCGTCGAGGATATCTTCCTTGCTGATCTCCGTCTCCGCGTCGATGTCCTCGATGGCACCCTTCATGGGGCCGCCCACGTCGCACTTGTACAGTCCTTCTAGGGCCGTCAGCGCGCGGGGCGGAGCTGGCGACCCTATCCCCTGCAGGCATTTCTTGTCCTCTGGGGGGCCGCTCTTCCTGAGGGGGCCCATGATGTGCTCGTAGCTTTCGTGCTCCTGCGTGAGGGCATACACCTGCTTGCCATGCTCGTCGTAAATGTCTAACTGCATGATCTTGATGTTCCGTTCGGCCTTCTTCGTAGCCCCCCGTGAATGCCCAGCGAGGCCAGAGCGTCCTGCTTACCGATGTTCTGTGCGTGTTGAGTTCCATTATATATGAGTCCTATCATCAGATACAATCGCCATAAATGGTCGAAACAGTGAGATAAACGTACGCATGCATGAATGTCCTGAATCACATTGCCAGTAGGGTTTTTTTTCATTTTTTTGCCGATGTCGAAAGTCTGGATGATGGTGGAGCTGACGTCGTGATCGATCTCGAGCTTCCGTCGACTGGGGTGATAGACTCGCTCAGCGAGCGGGTCCGCGTATTGATAATCTGCAGTGTATGTCCCATGCCTGCCCTTTGAACACCAGTGCGCATCTGGTGCTGCAGGGCGAGGAGCATGATGGTGAGTTCGATGGGCCTTGAAGAGAAGTGGGTGGGTCGTCGGATGGAAATTGATGATCAGGGCGCTCGTCACCAGGGTCACGTTCATGTCGGCCTTTAAGTCCAGGTGGCAATTCAAGTCCAGCGTGCACTTGTTCCACTGGTGGCGGTTCAGGCGCAGCGTGGTGTAGTCCTGCACGTACTGGCCCTCTGTGTTCGTGAAGCATGGAAATTGAGGTTCATCGTCCATTCGTCCAGGGTCAGCGTGTCGTACTCCTGCATGTGCTGGCCCTCTATGTCCGTGAAAAAGTTGGAAGTGACGCTCAGCGTCCAGTAGTCCTTCGCGAGCTGGGTGTGTAGGTAGTGGTCCAGCGTCCAGTAGTTCGGGGTCAGCGTGTCGTAATCCTTCATGTGCTGGCCCTCTGTGTTCATGGAGATGTAGCTCAGCGTCCAGCCCCGCACGTGCTGGCCCTCTGTGTTCGTGAAGATGTTGAAATTGACGTTCAGCGTCCAGTCGTTCAGGGCCCGCGTGTCGTAATCCTGCATGTGCTGGCCCTGTATGTTCTTGGCGATGTTGGGATTGAAGCTCAGCGTCCAGTAGTCCTTCGCAGTGTGGGTATGGGGGTAGTAGTCCAAGTGGCAAGTCACGTTCAGCGTGCAATTGTTCCACTGGTGGCAATTCATGGGCCGCATGGTGTGATCCTGCCTGTGCTGGCCCTCTGTATTCGTGAGGATGTTGTTGTTGACGCTCAGCGTCCAGTAGTTCAGGGTCAGCGTGTCGTAATACTTCAGCATCGGCATCGTCGTCTGGCAGGTGGTCAGGTGCTTGGGCCATGCGCTCGTCCATGTTCCTGATGTCAGCGAGCGAGTCCTGTGCTTAGCAGGTGCGCGGCGCCCGCGCTCCGGAGAACGTCCATGGCGGCATGGCGGTGCGCGGGGCATCGCCAAGAGGCCCCCTGCCTTTCGGGCAGGGCGAGGGGGCGGTGACTGGAGGCCGCTGCCCCATCAATGGCCTGAGTGCGCGGCGGCCTTTGATGATGCTGCTGATGATGATGATGATGATGATGGCGGTGACGATGGTGATGATGAGGAGGAAGAGGAGGAGGAAGAGGAGGATGGCGACGACCACCACAAGGAGAACGACTAGGTATAGCAGGCTGACGACCCAGAGCTCCGACGACTCGATCTCGCGCGCGGTCGCCGTCCCCGGCAACTCTCGCCCCCGAGGCCGATGTCTCATCCTGGGATTTGTTTTGGACGAGCCTGGGCAGCCTGGGTCGCAGAAGCGGCCCGCAGACGTCGAAACGTGTGAAAAACCAGGGCTCGGTAGGTTCGAGCCCCGATACGCCGGCCACGGCGGGCCGCTCGTGGCCACGGCCGGAGGCTCGAGCAGCTTCTTCCTCCTCCTCCCCCCCCCCCCTCCCCCCCCCCTCCCCCCCTCGCCCCTCCCCCTCCCCGCTCCTACTCCCCCTCCCCCCCCCCCTCCTCCTCCTCCTCTTCCTCCTCCTCCTCCTCCTCCTCCTCCCTCCTCCTCCGCCGTAGCCATTTTGGCTCAAGTACGAAACCTCGCCGCAGGGCTTCGAGCTTGTCCGCAGCCGCGCGGCAGGCTCGGACGTTCTAAGCGTGTGTCCTCCTGGTGAGCTGCCCGTGCCGCCAGGTCCCGTCGCCTTCCTCTTCCGCGAGCTCCTGTCGGAACAACTGGCCCGCGCCCTCCTTTGCGACACTGGGTGACGGGCTGGCTCTATGCGCCATGGACAAAGAAACCTCAACCAGGATCAGGTGGGCGCAGTTCCCAGGCCAAGAATCAGCGCAGCGTGTGCTCAGTCTGCAGGCATTGGGAGTACGTCTTCCACGGCCACAAGTGTTGCTCGAAGTGTCAAGGTGATTATCTCCAGCGTCCTCGGGGCGGTGCCCGTGGCGCTGGTGATCACCGCGGCGGCGGCCGCGCTGGTAAAGGCAAAGGGAATGGAGAAGGTCCTTCACTCGACGCTGAGCTCGAGCGGCTGACTGGCCTATTT